TCAATATCTTATCTATCTTATACTAACTATATATATATATATATATATATATATATATATATATGATACATGTTATTTTAAAATTGCAACAATATTTGTAAAAATATATTATAGTGCTGGTTAACGATTAATCGCGGTTAATTGCATCCAAAATAAAAGTTTTTGTTTACATAGTAAATATACACAGTACACACAATTACGGCTAAATGAACACCATTTCTCTATTTAGAGGTCATGTGTGAACAGATCCAATAATCATAATGCTGGCAAATCAGCTTCAGCACTTTGTCAACTTAATAATTCCTTACATTTATATAGCGCTTTTCTGGGTACTCAAAGCGCTTTACATAGAAGTGGGGCTTTACATCTCTTCAACCACCACCAGTGGTTAAATATTTAGGGCTTAAATACTGATGCTATGTGTGAAGAAGGGTTTAAAAAAAAAACCTAATAATTATAAAAACTGACACTAAACTAAAATACATTTTAATAATTCTAAAACGAATAAAAACAATAACAAAAACTACTAAAATAATTGGAAGCAAAAACTGACATTAAACTAAAATATATTTTAATAAAAATCTAATTAAATTCTTGAATTTGAATTAAATTGAGAAGGCAAACAGAATGCAGAATTGTAATTTGAATTAAGCCTTATAAATTCTAAAAAAGCAAAAATTCTACATATCAGAGAATACATTGAGGCATAACTAGTCAAAATGAATGACTGGACTAATGTCATTCCAATTCAATTTCCTGCAGCAAGTAGGCAATTCAATTCAAATTCAGTTCATTCTTAAATTTTGCCTAAATATAATTAATGAAATATTCTAGATTTTTTAAAATTATAATAATAGATTTAAAATATACAAAATAAATAATTCTGTTTCTAATGAATAATTGACTTGTAGTGAAGCAAAAGCAGAATTGAGTGCATGTGTCACGGGTGCACTGCTGAGCGGAGTCAGGCACAAGGAGCGGTGAGAGACGAGGAGTACATCAAGCCAAATGGGTTTAATTAACACAAACGGAACACGGAACACTCACGCTGTACATGAAGACATGAACATTCACATGCAATACCGGACACTGGAGCACACACAGGGAACACTATTTATACACATGACCGGATGAGGAGAGGACGAGACACACCTGGGATCAATAGACATAAAATGGGGAACACCTGGAATCAAATAAACCTAATCAGGACAGGAACAGGAAACTAACCAAATATGGGCGTAGGAAGGCACATGGGCAGCAAGACACACAAAACACGGAACAAAGTCTGACATAATGCCCCCCTCCGGAAGGTGTGTCCTCACGCCATATAACATCCAATGGGGAGGGGGGGTCTCGGGAGGCCATGGGGGAGCAGGGGACTCGGGAGGCCATGGGGGAGCAGGTAGTGTAGGAGGCCATGGTGGAGCAGCCTCCGAGGCCGCGGCCCCAGCCCCCGCCTCTACGGCTGGAGCCTTTCTTCTCCCCCCCCCCCCCCCAAAAAAAACTCGTGGAGAATATGTGTGCTGCTCCGC